TTTCTTTTTCTTGCCTTTTTTTTTTTTTCTTTTTTTCTTTGGGGGGGGAGGGAGGGGCAGTTGTTGGAAGCTTGAATGACGCTATCTATCCAGTGGATCAATTTATTGGATAACAGCATCGACTTATCAACTGGATAAGGATTTATCCGTTGAATAGCGCTATCCACCCTTCGTGCAACCGGGCTCTGGTGCAGATTTCTGGTTTATTTAGTATGCAATCGTGAGGTACCGATGTACTTATTTCGTACCAAGAGCGTGCTTTTCTTCTGGCCTACGACGAAGACTTGGACTTCCGGCATAAGAGCGTAGTCGTTCAAAGACTTGCCAAAAGTAAAAAAATATATATGTTTCCGAGTTTCCAGGAATGCTGAAGTTTTTCTTTCGTCTTGTTGTAGCGGCAAGTGTTGTGCCACTTTACATTACGGCCATGCTGGAGCACCTAACGACCAAAGAATCGAAGACGGAGACATGTGGTAAGTAAGAAGAGTATTGCTAGATTTAATGGCCGCCATAATGTTGGATGATTTTATCAAAAGAGTTGTCTTGTTCTCACCAGTCTGTTCGACATGGGTGGAGAGTACTTCTGCTATGCGTCTGATATCACGTGTTCGTATCCAGCCAATGGGAAATTCACAGAGAAACAAAGACAAATCTACGAGGCTGTGTACAAGTCAAACCGTGCTGTAATGGCTGCTGTCAAACCAGGTATCATCCATAGAAACCTGTGAGAAAATACTAATAAAACCATCCTTGTTTTAAATTACGAGGATTGCACTCAATAGCTTAATACTTACTGACGTTTCTTTTACTCCGACGAAGGACTAGCGTCCGAAGCGTCAGTAAGTTTTTTCATTTTTCAAGGTGTATCATTACAGCTTAATACTTAATAGACTTTAGGTGTCCCCGATTAGTGTTACCACTTGTGGAACGCTAGAAGTTTAGACACATTAATAAAGTTAATGATTGATTGATAGCCAGTTTCTAACTAACCTAACCGCCACCCGGTTATCAGTTGGTAAGAGGGTCGGTCTGTTGTGCGGGAGGTCGTGGTTCAAGCCTCTGCCGGACCAACACTCAGGGTCTTAAAATAACTGAGGAGAAGGTGCTGCCTTTGTAATAATATCTGCAAATGGTTAGACCTTCAAGTCTTCTCGGACAAGGACTTTAAACCGTAGGCCTTGTCTCCTAACCCTTCCTAACCTACAGTAAATGGGGACATAAAAGAACCACTGAGGACGTAAAGAAACCCTGGCAGTGACCACCCTCAGTGCCTACAATCCATACTATCCATCTCTCTTGCTTGTAAATTGCATAAAAAGCAATCTGTCATTCACAACTCCATGTAAAGCGCCTTTGATTATATCCACATATAAAAGGGCGCTATATAAATCATAATCATTTCATTTTTTTCAATCAATTCAAACCTGTTATATGAGCGAAATGGGATTTTAAGTCGATTTCTCAACTCTACTCATATGATGGTGAGTCCGGGGATCAAACCCAGTGAGAAGAGTAGCGCATTAGCACGGCACACCACCCGTAAGTTGGCGTTCGAGATACCATGAGAGGTGCTAATTCCTTACTAGTTTTTTTTGAGAACACAAGTTTTTCTTTTAGAAACGCGATGTTTTATAATCTTGTACTGAAAAGTCGTGTTTCAAAAGAACATTGTCCATTTTAAGATCGTTACTATGGCATTACTATTGTAACGATAAACCGATATACTCGAAATTGGTTTTTCTAAATATCTTTTGTTTGCGCGTGTACTCAAAACAAGCGGATCAAAGTCACTGAGCATCGCCTATGAAGCGATTTTCTTCTGCGCATGCTCGGCTTGTTTTGTTTATTGCAGTTTTTCCCTTTCTGTTTTCTTATCCTTTCAATGTATGTTTAAAAAGTTTCTCAAATCAAGTATCTTAAAAGATATAAAAATAAGAGGCAATGTTTGGTTTTTAACCCAAATCTTGAATGTAAATTACGTCACTGCTTTTTCAAAATGTGTCCCACATGGAATGAAGTGGCAATGGGAGGGTAGTCATCAGATGCACACTCGAATAATTGGGTCTACTGGTCATAGCAAGGGGTTAATCATCTATGGTCTAGGGGCCGACTAACCTCTCCCTTAGGTTTCGGCCGAGCTTYCTGATCAGTTTGTAATTCCCCCCGGGATAGCGGTGTTGGGGTCGAAATCTCCAGCGTAGCCGTAAGTCCATACGGCGGTTCAGCATTCGATGTCTGGAAGTATGGTCCTGGTTATCTTTGATAAAAGCAAAAAATAATAATTTCAAAGACTAATCTGATTAGTAAGATGAAATTTTAAGTAAYTGAATTTTTTGGGAAAACAAGAGAAATGCTACAAAGAGCGCATGAGCGTTTAAGGAGATTCATATACTTTTTTCTGGCAAATCAGTTCGACTCATCAATGGTGACGTGATTCCTAGTTGCTATTGTGAACTAACCTGAAATCGTTTCCTTCATTAATGATAAACCTTAGGGCGTAATGTCTTTGTTTTAACGGTTGTGCACGAAAAGACACATGTATAGAGTGTGTTCACGGCAGCCATGTTGGTGCCAGAAGCAATGCAATATTTTTTGCATGACAAGAAAACGTATTTCCGAAAGAAAAAATTTCTTTTGTTTAACCAACCAACATGGCTGCCATAAACACACTCYATAGAACTAAAAAAATATTCTTATTCCCAAGACAATGGCATGTAGTCTGAAATGGGACAACATCGCGCCCAAGCGAAGAACCTGACATGTCGTTTCTTTGTCCAGGTGTATCATGGCCAGACATGCATCGGCTTGCCAATCGCACTAATCTAGAAGAACTCAAGCGCATTGGGATTGTGAGAGGAGACATCGATGAGATGATAAAACATCACATTGGAGCTCTGTTTATGCCTCATGGACTGGGTCACTTCATGGGTATTGATGTCCATGATGTTGGAGGATACCCTGAGGTAGACAAATACTGTAGTATCTGAACTGTAGTAAAAACCAGTGTGTGTTCAGGGGCGGATCCAGGAATTTGTTAGGGGGTGTCCCAAATGAAGAAATGTATATAGAGTGTTTTCACTCACGTGAGAAGGCAGCCATAAAACAATAGAAACTTTCTGCRCAGTATTTGCGTAAAAATAGAGTTCAATTCCCGGAGGATAGAAAATGTATTGTTTTGGTACACCAACATGGCCCCTGTGACGTCACGTGAAAAAGCTCTATAGAGATATTATGCATCGCTTCCAAAAAGCGTGAGAGTAACTACGGTGTTAGGGGGTGTCCAGTGCACCGCAGGACGCCCCCTCCCTCCACTCCCCCTCGATCCGCCCCTGATATTACTGTACGGTTCACATGAATTCTCGCATAACTGAGATCACACTTTATAAATTTTGGCATGACCTTTGTGTAAGAACCTCCTATATAAACACTGCATCTTGAAGTTCAAAATAATCACAACATTTTGTCATTATATTCATTCAATGACCCGCTAATTCAGGGAGTAAAAAGGAACTAGAAAAGCTTTCAAACTTAGAAAAACTCACAGATCAAACCCTGAAACAACCTCTGGGCTGATCATAGTCAGGGCACGGCTAACTCACAGATCGAACCCTGAAACAACCTCTGGGATGATCTAAGTCAGGGCATGGCTAACTCACAAATAGAACCCTGAAACAACCTCTGGGATGATTTAAGTTAGGGCTTGGCTAACTCACAGATCAAACCCTGAAACAACCTCTGGGATGATCTAAGTTAGGGCTTGGCTAACTCACAAATCAAACCCTAAAACAATCTCTAGGCTGATCTAAGTCAGGGCATGGATAACTCACAGATCGAACCCTAAAACAACCTCTAGGCTGATCTAAGTCAGGGCATGGATAACTCACAGATCGAACCCTAAAACAACCTCTAGGCTGATCTAAGTCAGGGCACGGCTAACTCACAGATTGAACCCTAAAACAATCTCTAGGCTGATCTAAGTCAGTGCATGGCTAACTCACAGATTGAATTGGAATTTAGCTTGTTAGGTTTTGCGGAGGGAGAAAAATTGGAAAACCCGGAGAAAAAACCCTCAAATCAAGGGACAGACCTAACAAACTCTACTTACTTGTGATGTCAAGTCCAGTAATCGAACCTGAGAGACAAGTATATTACCGCTACACCACCCTTGGTTCCCTCGTCTTGTTTTTTACCTTTGAAGCTTGTGGCTTGCAATAAAGATGCTTACTCATTGTGTTGTGATATTATTAGGGTGTCAAGAGGATTGACGAACCTGGTTTACGTAGCCTTAGGACTGGTAGGACTCTTGAGGAAAATCAAGTCTTGACTATTGAACCTGGGATCTATTTCATTCGTGCGGTAAGCAAAGGAAGCCCAACTCAACATTTGAATCATCCAACAAATCTTTTTCACAGGAAACCCTCTTAAACTTTTGACTGGTCCATCAAAGGACCATTAAAAATGGTTATTTTTACGGGTATTTTTTATGGGCTTGAGTGAAGTTTCAGCTAAGTTATAACTCAGTTACGATAGCTCAGCGGTCCCCTTCTCCCCCCGCGTTAATCATGTTGGAGAGCCTCCTGATYTTGGTAGGGCTTACTAACAGAGTTTGCAGTATGGCACGTTGACACTTTATTCTTCGTTTGCACGTCATCCCGGCCATGTTGGTACCATTTAACAAAAGATTTCTCATTAGCGTCCATTGTTAACGGTACCACAATGGCCGCTATGTTTTTGTGTTTTAACTCTCTTGAGAATGCTTGCAACCTATCAATTGGCCGTTTATCACGTGGTGCAGTGTGCGCAGTCACCAGACAAATAATAACCAGTCAGTTCTTGTCCTTTTTCTATAGGTTCTTGAACCAGCTCTTTCTAATCCAGAAATTTCACACTTTTTCAACCGTGAGTTGGTGGAGCAGTACTGGAACTTTGGAGGGGTAAGATCAGATAAACTACACTACGCAAGGCTACACTACGCAAGGCTACACTACGCAAGGCTACACTAC